CTTTGAGCCCGTCGCGGCGCGCGCGCAACGGACGCCGCAACGCGCCCGTTGGATGCAGCTGTCCGTTGTTGGTCTTCTCACCGCGCAGCCGTCGCCCCGACGCCCACGCGAGTCGTGACGCGACAAGTCCGAGTGGCATCGCAGCCCATCAAACGGTCCGTCCCGGACAAACATTACAACCAGCCCGTCCCGGACGGAGATTCTAAACACCTTCCATCGCCCGTCGCGCCCTCCACGGGACCCCTCCGAACTGACTACCCTCGCCCACGACCGACCTACCCTCGCCCACGACCTCACCGAACCCTCCTATCCACCAGCTCCGAAGCCCGGCGACCCCTATAAGAAATAAAAAATAAAAATAAAGATTAGGAGGATTTGAAGGTTCAGCGACTAGTTAAATAATTTTAATTATTTACGTGGGAATTGCAATGGGATTTGGCTGTATCCTTCGGGTCCTCCGTGTGTGCCTCTGCAGCCTCCGGCGCGCTCTTGTAATAGTGTCAACGACTCGGAGCCTCTTGGAGGACCTCCTGGTCGGCGCCTTCGCCGCGGAGCCAGGCGGCGAGGTCCAGTTCGAGCTGGTCTGCGTCGACGGATGCGAGGCGTGCCTTCCAGGACCGTTCCCGGGCGGAGGCGGGCGGAATGGGGAGCCGCGACGATGACCCGCGCTTCCGGCGGCCGCGGCGCGCGCCCGGCCGCAGGGCCGCGGGCCGCTTGCCCGAAATCGATTCGCTCGCCTCGGCGGCCGGCTCCGGCGGCGCGTCGTCGGCTTTGGGTTCGTCGGGTTCTTCGTCGTGCTTTTGCAGCCACAAGGCAAAGTTGACGAGCGAGGAACGCTGCTTCCGGTCCGCAAGCGGGTGCTGCAGCACGCGCGACGGGCCGTCGGCGACGTCGGGGCCGCGGAACGCCGCCGCAAAGGCCTCGAGGAGCCGCGGCCCGGGGTCCGCGCCGTCGGCGGGGAGACCGAGGGGCGCGCCGTCGGCCAGCCCGAGGGTCGCGCCGTTCGTCGGCCCGAGGGGCGCGCCGGGAGTTACCCCAAGGAGCGCCCCATCGGCACTCCGCCGCCACGCGGCCGTGAGCTGCCGGAGGCGCTCAGCGAGGATAACGCGCATCCAGGTGAGCTCGGCCTAGGTCGGCGACGATTCGACGGCAACCGCTCCAGCTTCCCTGGGACTACTCGATTGCGGGTCTGTCCCCTGGCGTGCGGCTCTCCGCGGTCGCTTTGCCCAAGGCTCTTCGGAGTTCCGTCGTCCCCGCGGCGGTCCGTTTTTTTGGCGGCGCGGGCGGCTGCGGTGATGACGGCGCGATCGTGCTGCTTTGGCTTTGGGGCCATGCCCTTTGGCCGCTTGGGTTTTGGGGCGGCGTTGACGTGGAAGGCGAGGTGGCGGTGCGCGGCGGCGAACGGCGCGCAGTACGACGGGGCCGGCTTGTGCGCTGCGACGCCGCGGAGCACCTCGACGAGGGCGTACGACGAGACGAAGCGGAGGCGCGCGCGCGTCTTGCCCTTGGAGGGTTGGTCCAGCGCGCCAGAGGCGAGCGGCTTGGTCGCGCCGCGCACCGCCGCCTGCGACGCGCGCGCGCGGAGGCCAAAGTCCGACGTCACGAGGGCGATTGTGGCGCCGTCCTGGCCGGCCCACCACTCGACGGCGTCGACGAGGGCGTCGTCGGCGTTGCCCACCGGGCCGGCGAAGGCGAGCGCGCACGTGCCGTGGACGAGGCAGGCGTCGCGCCGCTCGGCGTGGTCGAACACAACCGCCACGGGCTGCGCTTGCGCGCGCGCCAAGTCGGAGACGGCGCGCGCCAGGTCCGCCGCCGAGAGCGCCCAGTTGGACTTGCCGCGCACGTTGTCCGCGTCGATGAGAATGACGCTCGGCCGCCGGCCCGCCGTCCCGACGAGCGTCGAGATCTCGTCGGCGTGCGCGGCGCGCCGGGGCGCGACCCGCGGCCCGGGCGGGGGCCCCGCGGGCGAAAACGCCGTCGACGCGCCGAGGCGCAGCGCCAGGAGCCAGAGGCTCTGCATCCCCCCTCGCAGCGCCGGCGGGCGCGGGCGCGGGCCGTCCGACGAAGAGCAAGCGCCTCCACCGCAGCCCTAGAGCAAGCTCCGCACCACGACCCAAGTCTCGCCTTGCCTAGTAGGAATCCTAGCTCCTTGCCTTGCGGAATTCTAATCATTTAGCGAATCGCCGAATTGAAGTTGACATTCTCGAGCTCCGGAAGTTCGACTTGCCGCGCATGTTGTCCTCCTGCTCCCCCCCCGCTCTAGACATTCTCGCCGCGGCCTTCTCGGTCGCGCCGGTCTGCCCAACTGCCGATATCGATGCTGAGCCCAGTACATAAATACATGCAGCAGATATCCGCGTTTTCCTCGAAATAGTGATCTCAGCGTGTCCGCCGATCCACATGAGGTCGGTGGTCTGGCATTTTACACCCTCTTCCTTCACCCTGCACTTTCACAAGTCCAGTCGCGACCAGAGTATATATATAATGAAACCACCATACGTATCGACAAAAAAAAAGTCACAGTTTGTCGGCATCACGGCTGCGATCTTATATGTTATCTTCTGGGATTGATCTCTCGTGCATGAGCGATCGCGATTCATCTTAAAGATATCGCTATGTGCGGTGCTGACCACACGGCTATCGCCATGTGTTGCACTACCCTCTGTCGCGTGCTCGAGTCTCCGCGGGCTCGGAAACTTGCAGATGACATAAGTAAACCAGCAGCCCCATGGCGATAGATAGGGCTCTTGGCCGAGCGGTCTAAGGCGCTGCATTCAAGTCGCAGTATCTCACGATGCAAGGGTTCGAACCCCTTAGAGCTCAAAACCAGTTCAGTCCTCGGTGATCCTGTTTTTTTCCTTGTTGTAAGGATTCCTCATCTATTTCGCAGATTTTATTGTTATCTATCAAAGCCCATCTTATCTTTTTATTTTATTTTTTGCCCTTATTGAGTTATTTTATTTTGCCAAATCTTTCCTCACCAAGAAGCTGTCCCAAGGTAGCTCGCGACGTAGGCCGACCTGCACCTGCCTCTGCGACGAGAGCGTCGAGGCGACTGTCCCGTTCGCGTGGCATTGCGAAGGCGACGCTTCGAGTGCAGCGACAAACAAGCCTGTCGCGAGGAGCATCTCTCTGATTATTTTTGTAGTACGCATGGCTTCGATGCCGCGGCCCCGAGTCGTCGACGGCCAAAGCCGCGTGCGCGCTCTCGAGCCGTCCCGCTGGTCGGGCCGCGGCGCCGGAATGACCCAAGTCGAGCGCAACGCCGCTAAAGGACTTGGTCCGGTCAACCGTGACTTTAAAAAGCAAAAAGGCCTGCTCCGACCAAACCAACGCTCAAGGTGATTGCAGCGGCCGGTGACGCGGGCTTGTTTTTTCCCGCGGCACAACCAGATGAGGGAGCGCGGCCAGGGGCGAGACGGGGCGAGGCGAGTCGAAACGAGATTCAAAAGTGAGCTTTCGCAGTGGAGGCGCGAGGGCGCCGAGGACTTCACGAGGGTGTAAATTACCTCCCGCCTCGTTGCCTCGTCGAGTCATGCAAAGTGCGTCGCCGCGTCCGCGCCGAGCAGCGCGAGCGCGAGCAGCTGCACCGCGGCGAGCCCGGCCGTGCCGCCCGGCAGGAAGCGGCCCGGGTCCGGCAGGCAGCGGCTTGGGTCGCCGGCGGCAGGCCGCCGCCGCAGCGCCCAGAGGAAGAGCGGCGGCAGCACGCCCCAGAGCACCGTGACCGGGAAGCCGCCGGCAAAGGCGAGCGCGCGGTACGCGACGTCGTTCCCCGACGACGCGACGACCGCGGGCAGCGCGACGGTCGCGACGCGCACCGCGCGCCGCCGCCGCCGCGCTCCGGCTTCCGCGGCGCCGCTGGTGCCGGCGCCACCCCCGGCGCCGCCCCCGGCGACGGCGTCGTCGAAGAACTGCGCCGCGGAGAGGAGCGTGCCGACGGCCGTGGACGCGACGGCGGTGACGCAGAAGACGCCGACGGCGGCTGCCTCGTAGCCGCGGCCGCGCGCGAGGAGCGCAGCGAGTGGGTCCACGCCAGGCACGTTTAGGTTCACCGCCGCGGCCGTGAGGGCGATGGCCATGGCGAGGGGCATCGCCGAGCCGAGGGCGATGGCCGCCGAGATGTCGCGGCGCGTCTCGAGGCGGCGGACGACGAGGCAGACGGCCTCGCCGAAGACGAGGAGCTGGACGAAGATCCCCACGGCCCAGGGCTCGCCGCCCCTCGGCAGCAAAGGCGCCCAGCTGCCGCGCTGCAGCACGGCGGCGGGCGCGAGGCCGCCGGCGTGCGAAAAGCACGCGCCGAGGAGTGCGGCGAAGCTGGCGAGCATGAGCGCGCCGCAGGCCGACGTCACACGCTCGGCGAAGCGGTCGTTAACGCAAAACGCGACGCCGTACGCGGCGGCGGCGGCGGCGGCGGCGGTGCCGAGGCGGAGCCGCGCGACGGCGGCGGCGGCTGGCGCGGCGCCGGCGACGGCGCCGACCAGTAAGTCCGTCGTCTTCGCGACTTGGGACGTCAGCGTGCACAGCACGACGACGGAGAAGCACGCGGACATCAGCAGACTGACGCCGCGCCGCACGGGTCGCGGCCAGCCGCGCGTCGCCTCGACGGAGATGGAGAAGATGGACACGCCGCCGCCGCCGGCCGGCGCTGCGCCGTCGCCCGGCGCCGCGGCGTGGCGGCAGCGCGCGGCGGCCTCGGCGAGGGCGAGGGCGCCAAGGAGGTGGTAGACCCAGACGGCGGCGAGGCCCGCCGTCGCCGGCCCGATGCCCGCGCGGCACGTGGCGCGCGGCACGGCGAGGAAGCCGCTACCGACGGTCGCGCCGCAAACGAGCAGCGCCGACTCGAGCACCGAGCCCCGGCCCCGCGCGGCCGGGGGCGCCGGCACCGCGCCGGCCGCCGCCGCGCGGCGGCCGCCGCCTCGCGGGGCGGGCGACCGCGGGGCCGCCTTCCATGGGACCAGCCCGGTCGCGCAACACAGGAGCAGCGTAAGCAGCAGCATTGCCGCTCGGCGGAACCCAGGGCTGCCTCCGGCGCTCGGCCGCAGCGCACGCGGGTAGTAGTATACTAGTACGTAGTCAAGTTGAATAAGGGGGGTGTTGCATTTTCAATTTCGCCGGGGACGGCCCGAGTTATGCGGTCTTACCCAGGCTTTTGATGGGATAGTGGGTAATAGGGGGCGGGGAATCGAGTGGTCGCATTTTTTCCGCGCGATTCGCGCTCCTTGGCGCCGATTCCTCGCAAAATTCGCCGTATTTGAGCCTTGCGGGCTTTTGAGCGGCGCTTTCAACGCCCCGGGGACGTGACAGCCTTTACCCGGCCTACCCGAGAGACGCCCGTACGAGATATCCTATTTTTCAGGCTGCTGCAATGGCCAGTTGTGGATTCGGTTGTGTCCTCAATAAGGGATTTTGAAGAATTGATGAGGGTATTAAAAATATTTATTGAGATATTTTCTGTTTCTGTTTCGGTGTGTGTTTATGTAAATCCGAAGTCGGGGTGGAGAAGCCGTGCCACGGGTCGCATGCGCACGCTTCCACCTCGAGGGGGTTTGTAGTAGGTACATGGGTCCTATAGGCCGCGGTGGTCCTGTTTTTGGGTCTATAGGAGCCCCCACTCCTCGCATGAACTGCGTGCCCGTCACCGTCTTTTATATCAGATTTATCAAATGCGTGCTAAGTTGGTTGAGCCGACTCTGCCAGGGCAAGGTCCTTTGGGACTGGGGGCCGGTCCTCAGGGACGGGCCGCCCTGTGATTTTTATTATTATTATTATTATTACCTTGGATTATCGCAAAAATCTTGCATTTTCATGCGCAACTCCACCCAGGCCCACTGATCAACTACGTGCGGCATGATCCAACCGAAAATCTTACCAAGAAACATATCGACTGGGCGCACTGCCGCAATATTCAAAATCCTAAACCCGTGGCGGGTTTAGGTTTTGAGACGCCCATAACCCACGTTACAGCGATGGATTGAAGGCGCAGAGTCCGTCCTTGGGTCGTGGCCGATGTGCCCACCGCGCATCCACTCGGATTGGTGGGGCCTACGAGTCAAACCACGGCGATTTCCATTTTGGTAAAAACGAGGGTGCCCAGGCGTCCCGGAGCGTCCGACCCCATATCTTTTTTGGCAGGAGGGGCCTCGGAGGTGTCTGCGAGCGCCTGCCACGCTGGACGGCCGATTGCGACCGCGCGCGACACACTATAACCCCAAAAACCCGTTTTTGACCCGTTTTTGCTAACTTTTCTCACAGGCCGCGAAACTCGCCAGAGATCGCGCGAGCGCGTCCCTTGGGTCAAATATAGTCGATTTTCCTCGAAGGCGTGAGTTTGGCGACGATCGTCGCGCCCTTTCCATAAAGCAACACCCCTTTTTAAATGTTCAAGTTTTTGACGCACGCACGAGCACGTGTAGGGAACAGCCTCTCCAATTTGGTACGCTCTCCTAATTTGGTACGCTTTCGCTATTTTTAGCGCCGGGCAGGCTGTACGCCGACTACGAGGCTGGTACTTCGGATCGGGGCCCGGGACGATGGTC